GGGTGGGGCAGATTTTAAGGTTACTGAGAGGAGAATCCAGGGGGATACCCCCCAAGGAAGGGTGGGGCCCCGGCTGGAGACACCATCTCACGGGGGCTCCGGGGATGCGTCCGTTCCTAAGGGAGCGAGGGCCGGCCCAGGGCCCCCCAGCAGTCACAGCCCAGGGCCTGGGCCAGGGAAGCAGAGCGAGGTCTGGAGTCCCCCTCCCCTGCTCACAAGGGGCTTGCACCACTGGCTCCCCTCAGCTCCACCAACCCCCCAGATCCTCCTCTGCTCCGGCACCGCCCATCGCTTCCACACGCCAGCGCCGGGCCCTGCCCTTCCCCCACTCCCCACTCCCAGCCCTTACCAGTGTTTGTGGGTGCACAGGATGGCCACCAGCCTCACCCCCTCCTGCTCGATGGCAGCCTGGGAGAGGAGAGAGCGTGCGTGCTCTGCCCCCCCCAGCTAAAACACAGGCGGGGGGTGTTGGGAGCGACTGCATCAATGAACGGGGAGGCCCCGGGGTTCATTCCGTGCGAAGAAATGGCCCCCAGACCCCCCCACCGCTCCCCGTGGTTCATTCCGTGCGATGGAACGGCCCCCAGAACCCCCCACTGCTCCCCGTGGTTCATTCCGTGCGATGGAACGGCCCCCAGAACCCCCCACTGCTCCCCGTGGTTCATTCCGTGCGATGGAACGGCCCCCAGAACCCCCCACTGCTCCCCGTGGTTCATTCCGTGCGATGGAACGGCCCCCAGAACCCCCCACTGCTCCCCGTGGTTCATTCCGTGCGATGGAACGGCCCCCAGAACCCCCCACTGCTCCCCGTGGTTCATTCCGTGCGATGGAACGGCCCCCAGAACCCCCCACTGCTCCCCGTGGTTCATTCCGTGCGATGGAACGGCCCCCAGAACCCCCCACTGCTCCCCAACGGCCCCCAGAGCCCCCCTTCGCTCCCTGTGGTTCATTCGGTGCGAAGGAACGGTCCCCAGAGCCCCCCTTCGCTCCCTGTGGTTCATTCCGTGCGAAGGAACAGTCCCCAGATCCCGCCATGGTTCGCGCCGTGTAAACACCCCCTAGAGCCCGCTCCTGCCCCCAGAGATGACAGGGGAGGCTTGCCCCCCCCCCCCAGGAGTGCCACAGGGCAGGCAGAGAGCAGAACGCAAACCCAGGGCCCCCACGCAGCACAGGGCCCTGGGGGGTCTGGACTCTCCCAGGGGCCCGCAC